GCCAAAAATGAGCGGAAATCAAACCAGAATGCAGAAAACTCAAAACTAACACCAAGATCAAAAGGTCAAAGATCCTTGAAAAAAAACAGGAGGAAAAAAAAAAAACAAAATCCTAAAACAAAGGACCCATGAGATAGCTCAGCAGATTAAGCACCTGTTTAGGCAAGTGCAGAGACGGGGGTTCGATTCCCGGCACCACATGCCTCGCCAGCCCCATCCCTATGGGTGCTGAGCCAGCCACTGAATTCAGATGTGGTGGCATATGCCTGTAATCCTAGCCCTGGAGAGGCTGAAAATAAGAGGGTCACATTGAGTCCGAGCTGCGTAGTGAGACCCTGTACCACATACATTAAAAAAAAAAAAAAAAGCAGGCAAGCATAGAGGAAAGTGGTTCCTTTCCCAGAGTGGAAGCCAGCTTCATCAGTTATGTGAAGACTTGCTTTCAAGTGACTAAGTAGAAGGCTACTCAAGATTTCTGGCAGTGGAAGAAGTCTTTTTAAGAAAACAGTTTAGACAATTTGTTAACATTTTCCATCTTTTTTTTTGTTTCTGTAACAGTTAATCAAGTGAGAACTTTCCCTATTTTTTTTTCTTTCTTTTTTATTGCGTGTGTGTGTGTGTGTGGCCAGATCAGCCCACCAGGGGGTGGGTCTGGCTGGCATGTGGTGCTGGGGGATTGAACCACGGTCCCTCTGCTGTGCTAAGCTTGTTCTAAGTAGGTGCTTTAGACCACTGAGCCATCTCACCAGCCCCTGTATTGGGCATTTCTGTGTATTGCTGCTGCTTATATAGTGGTTGTACTGAACACAAATACTAGACATTTATGATCACTAAGATTAGTGATAGATATAAAAAAAATAAACACTAGGGTTGAAAGTCAAGGAACTTTCATCTTTCCATAGTTACCAGTAAAAGGAAACAACCTGCTCGAGTACACATTTCCCCCTGATTAGGAAAAAAATAGAAGAGAACATACTTAACAACTTCGGACAATTGTCAGTTGTGCTGGTAACTCACTACTATTATGGACTATTGGACTATATTGGGTTATTTTGCTGAATTCAAGTAGCTACAATATTTGGACTGGCATCAAGTAAGAAAAGGTCCTTTGAAAAGTTCTCCAAATACAGCTTCTCTAACAGCAGTGGGACACCCATCACTGACAACACAAAACAAAAATGGTTGACATAAATAAAGGACTGTTTTGCAGTGAAAAAAAAATACATACACATGATAGGATAGATATACGGCTACTTTCTCTTAGTTCAATGAGAAAAGTTTGTACTAACAGTGTTTAGACAAGATTTCATGTCTACATCTTGTCCTCTGAATAACTACTATGAAGACATTATGCAATGTATTAATTATTTTAACTGTCCTACTATCCTGTTTCTGAAACTGTTTCATTGCTATTTTATCTATTTTTCTCTTAAAATGAATTTAAAAAGAATACACATTCACTTTTAAAAATGACTACAATCTTACCTAATAATCATCAGTCATCATTACATGCTTGTTCATTGTTTCTAGTGAAATATAACTTTAAGATTTGTAATAATGTTCAAGATTCAATAAAAGTACTTATAAGAATGATACCAGCAGCCCTTAATAAAACTGAGAATGTTAATGAGGGTATTTTTTTTGAATATCATGGTGAAAATGAAATTGTTTCCTCCTGTAAATTAATATACTTAATAAGTAATTGTCTAAGGGCCTGAAAGATATCTCAGTGGACTAAATGCCTGCTTAGGCAAGTGCAGGGACCAGGGTTTAATTGCCTGCACCACATGCCATGCCTGTCCCAAAACTGAGCATACTGAGAAGGCCACTGAGACCACCGTGGTGGCACATGTCTTTAATCCTAGTGCTGGGGAGGCTGAAAACAGGATTATCACTATGACTCAGAGCTGTGTTATACATATACATAAACAAATACTGGTCTAATTTGTGAAGGAAACTAGACAATACATTTTTTTGTTTGTATGATGTGTGTGTGTATAAAACAAGGAAATAGAAACTTGTATGAACAAGTTCTAATATTACCAAATGTAGAATATCTTATTCCAGCATGCACATTAAAATCAAGATTTTAAATGCTGTAACTCAGAATGGATTTCACAACCTGATGTTCATTAATTTTTACTTGGCTTAAATACTTAAAACTACTATTATCCAGTTTATTTTGGTAGAATGAGAATTCTGTTCATCTATTTCATTTAAGTGCAGGTGGCATTAAGGAAAGTAAATCTAGGATTAGAGTTTATCATTCTTTATAACTGAGTAATACTTCATTGTATAAAAATACCACATGTTTTTCATCCATTCTTCAGGTGATGGGCATGATGTACTCATAAGTGAAATAAACCAGACCCACATGCGTAAATATTTTATAGTCTCCCTAATATAAGAACTCAAAATAAGAAATACAAAAAGAAAGTTGTAACACAATTTA